TAGTCTCTATCTATCTATTAGTATCTATCTATCTATCTATCTATCTATCTATCTATATATTTCTATCTATCTATCTATCTATCTATCTATCTATCTATCTATCTATCTATCTATCTGTATCTTTCTATCTATCTATCTATCTATCTATCTATCTATGTATTAATATCTATCTATCTATCTATCTATCTATCTATCTATCTATCTATCTATCTATCTATATATCTGGTAATGGGTGCCAAGTTCGAGTACCTCCTACATATTAGTCTGTTTGTATCTAACTATTGGTCTGTATTTATGTACTGTCTCTATATAATAATATGTCTCTTTATCTATCTATCTATCTATATATCTATCTATCTATCTATCTATCTATCGTGTGCCAAGTTCAAGTGCCTCTTAAACAGGAATATGTATTGATAGTATTCCTAAAGATGTAGACTTTTTTTCCCATAATCACTTGAGCATTATAGTACATACCTCTATAGCAACTCTGTCACAATTGTGTATTAGTTGACCTTCGAGTATATTTTCATAGTTCAGTTAACAAACATAAGTACTCATTGTCAGAATATACATACTACATACTTCTCCATCTTTTAGCAATCTATATATTATTTCTGTGTATTATCTCTCTATCTAATTGCAGTTTGTCTGTTATCAGTGTATGCACTCCCTTTTTCTATCACCCCATCTTCATCGCTTTCTCTCTCTCTTTCCCCATAAATCTCACTTTCCCCTATCCCCCATCCCTCACACCCCTCTCTTTTTTTTCTCTCTCTTTTTCTCCATCCCCATCCCCCCTTCCCTTTTCTCTCTCCCCTTCTCTTTTTTTTCTCTCTCCCTTCTCCACAACCCCCTCTCTCTATATTCCCCCTTTCTTTTTTTCTCCCCTTCCATTTCTATCTCTCTATCCGCCCCCCTCCCCCTTTCTCTCCTTCTCCTTTCTCCCTTTTCCCATTGCTCTGTCTCCCTTTCTCCATATCCCTTCTCTCTCTCCTGTGTCTCACTCCATCACATCTTTCATTATCTCTCTATAGAAAACAATATAAATGTAGAACACATGGCACTTAACAGCCCCTGTGAACCCTTCCCCTACTGCAGAATTATTACGTTTGGTCGATCCATCTAATGTACATATTCTATATAGGATTGGACAGACACTCACAGACTGCGGTGTACACTTCCCTAGTGATATCTGCAATGGATTTCCCCAGGTATCCATTACACCCAGAAATGGCTATGAAGAAAGTTGTAGTCATTTACAATACATTGACATTCAAACTCCCTCCAAACACGAATGAAGCACAGGGGCTGGCTCTCCTCCTCTAAGGTGTTATTTTATAGCATCAGTTGATTTGATAATAACCAGTCGATTATATAAAATTTAAATGAAAGTATAATTATAACATATACTGGTGGGAGATGCCCTGCTGCTGGCAAATGGCAGGATGCTATTATTTTTCAGAGATGTGCCTGAGCGTTGGAGACTTGCCTTCTCTGTGTTGTCTGTAGCTGAAGATATTTTACTTATCTGCACATTGGACTTGTTTATTGATTAAACAGATCAGACACCTCATAATACCCAACACACACTGCGATATAGACAGATCTGCAGAGTCCCATCTACAGCCATGGACCAATGTAATTCTATAGGCACTGCTGCCTTAATGGATGGGGCATTGCCGCACACTGCAATGGATTGGTATTACTGAGATATATGTATTCATACAGATAAGGAATATACATCTATTTTTTTCAAATTAGTTTTAGATTTTATGCCTGTTATGTTATATTATGTGTCTGTGTAGATATATATCCATATACAAACACACATACAAACAAACCACATATATAACAAAAAAAAAACACATAAAGTATACGCACCACATATGGCATACAAAACATATAAATTATACACACACACACATCTCTTATCACACACATATAAAACATTCATATAGACATAGATATGGTACATAATTACATAGGTATCTCTATCTATACACACACATATATACATAGACCTATATATATAGACCTATATATATATATATATATATATAGTCTATCACACAATTATAATACATATTCATACAGACATATAAGCTACATAAGTATCTCTCTTTATACACACATAAACACAACACAAACATATATATACATACATATATATATAGTCTATCACACACATATAACACATGTTCATATAGACATATATATGATATATAATCACATAGGTATGTCTCTCTCTACACACACATACACATGTATATATATATATATATATATATATATATATATATCAAACATATAATACATATTCATACAGACATATGGCATATATAATTAGATAGGTACTCTCTGCATATATATATATATATATATATATATATATATATATATATATATATATATATATATATATGTATGTATATATATATACATATATAGTCTGTAATAGACATATACAAATTCATACAGACATAATCACAGAGGTATGTGTCTACATTGTATTGCACACTTTAGTTTTTTATATATGATGTGTGTCAGATTATATATATACATATATATATATATATATATATATATATATATATATATATAATAATACATGTTGTACCTGTTAATTTAAAACACACATCCACACCATACCACACATTATACAAATATGTATAGGTGTCCTTGTATTTCAAATATGGCTTTATACATTGTGTATGTGTGTTAGAATATATATATATATATATATATATATATATATATATATATATATATTACATGATATACCTGTTATCTTCAACACCTCCACACTATAACACACAATATAAAACTACATATATGCCAATTTCTAATCTTAGAACCTAGGAAGTCTACATAACGCTGGTTTTAGGAGTGAAGCCGAAACTAATAATAACACAAAAGCATAAAACAAGAGCATAATACGGATTTGGGATTAAAAATGATCCCAGTGGAGGTTTGTCGCCCTGTTTCCTCCCTCGGTGAAGAATTTGTTTATGCAGAAGGGATGTTTAATAGCACTAATTGCATTGCATTTAGTTAAATTGCCCTGATTGCAGAAAAGGAGGCAATTTGCGTCCCTCCCCGTCTGGGCTCGCAAGAAATTGTTCCATATTCACCTCTTTACAGAGAAGTGGAGGTTTAAGGCACAGAAGTCTGCACAAATTACCACTCCGGCTGACTGCTAGCATTCAGCCACTATAATAGAAGTATTATTTGGCCGTTTTGAATAATGTAAAACGGTGGAGGCGAACCATTCTCTGCTAAATTGCATTTAACTTTTACCAAAAAAAGATGATTGTCTACCAAAGGGGCCTTTTGTCAATGGATATTGTCATTAAATGCCAGCGTTTTAAGTGGCAGCTCATCTGTGACACATCTTTGTTTTAAAAGTGAAGCAGTCACAGAAAGGACCCCAATGTGATCAGTGTAAATAGCCGGCAGAGATCAGTCTACATTCAGCCCACAGTACACACTGGCATTTAAAGGGCACGGTGCCTTCCTCCTGGACTGGGGAGAGTTTTTACAGCAGGGAGAGTGTGTATAATGAATGGGATCATTATTGATTCGTGGATGGATCGTGCTGTACAGTTGTAGTTGAATTTAATGCTAGACATAAAACGATTCCAGTTCAGATAATCAGGGATTGAACTGCCCCATGGGATGTGTAGGAACGCCTCGATGACACCTCTATTAGCACATGGCATTAATATGGAGAGCTTCACCTGTTGTCACCCCGGCAGATCACTCACCTCTGGTGGGTTTGTCAGGATTAGAGTGTGCCTCCTCCAGATGATCACAAGAGTTTGATGACAAATTCTGCATCTCTCTCATCTCAACTGAAACCAGCCATCAAAGGCAGCTGCAGGAGCGCTCCGCTTGGCTACATGCGAATTTTTCCGCACCCCCAGCCTCTTGTCTGCGACAGATCACTCAATACACCGGCCGACACCACCACCAGGAGTGACAACCCTCACCATCGCCTAGAAGCAAATGAACACTGTACTAAAAAAATAATAATAATAATAATAAAAAAAAAAAAATATAATATATATATATATATATATATATATATATATAGAGACACGTGTCAATGATTTCTCAGAGCACACAAATGAAGAAAGTGCCATATAATATAAAAGTATAATACACATAATAAAATAGTATATTGTAATACTATGGGGAATTTAAATCAACGAAAATAGAAATTAGAGAACTTTTGGGGATGAGCTACCTGTAAGATCAGTGATGACAGCAATGTAGGTGTCACAGTCTTTAAAAACGAAAATTGTGAGATGGCCAAAAAATAACAATAATAGTAATAATAATAATAACAATAATTTGTAGTTGCCCAAAAGGTGGTATAAAATGAATGTCATTAGGATGCTGAAGAAAAGCTGGAATTGGCCAGTGTAATTAAGCAGACACTGGTATTTATTTTTGTGCATCAGAATCTGTTGGCATTTGAACAGCCAAAAAATGTTGTTGGAATTTGTGAGTTTTTAGATGTATGCTCAACAATCTGGGCATTTCTGTCCTAATTTTTTTTTTTTTGAAGGGGACTTATTAACCCCCTGTAGGACAGAAAGCAATGAGATCTAAGTAGCTCCCTCCGGACAGGAGAAGGTTAATCCCATTTTTACCATTTTTTTTCCTCCCCGGACTCCAAGGCAATGGAGCTTCCAAATCCTCCCCTCCTTTGAACGGCCAGGCTTGTAAGAGCACTGATTTCTTGCACCACGTCGCCTCTCATTGGCTGCGACGCAGCTCCCAGTCGGCGTTCGAAGCCTCCTGATTGGCCGAGAGCGGCAGCCAGCGGTACTTCAAAGCAGGCGCTGCCAGCGCAAAGCCTGAGTCTAGTCCGCCGCAGACAGGAGGAGGATCCGCACTCACAGCAACCTGTGCTAAGGAGCAGAAGGCAGAGGGCTGCCAGCTACTGACCCCGGGCAACTCACTCCTCTCCGCACCAGGGCAAGGGACGGGCTATGGCTACGTCTATACTTGGGGTAAGTCAACCAAATCTTAAACTCTTCCTAAAACCTGCAGCATTGATTCCCCCCAAAAAAGTTACAAATAGAAAAATAAAACTTTTTTTTTAACACCAGTCAGTCTGTAAATAGCATGTACGTTCTAGCAGCAGATCCTGCATCACTAATAATAGCATAAATAATAAAAATAATCGAAGTGAAGGATAGCCTTGACTTGACTTTATATAGCATTTTTCTTCCTCCCAGGCGAGAGAAAGTTTATTGCATTTATTTTATTTCGTTAACAACAATGCAGCCTGAACGATATCATTTTCTCCTAATCCCCAAACCATTACCACATCAATACAAGCAGCCAGCACTTATGTATTATTTGACTCTGCGGTTGCCTTGTGCTTCTCAAAAGCTCTGGCACACGATCCTGAGGACCTGCAATAAAATCAGGTCCCCAATCTTCTATTTCAGGGCTCCATAGGATGTGGCTCCCTGTCTGCCTGACATTATCTAATATCGCAGGTCACTCCTATCGCCTGCCAGGCTTCTGATAATGATGGAGAGGTCTGCTGCTCTATTCATAGCTAACGATGGCCAATAAATAATCATCATTACACTGGGAGCTTCTTGTTATTCTGCAAACAATACATACATCTTTGTAGAGTAAATTCTTTCATGTATCCCAGTTAAATAATAATAGTAGTACTTATATATCTATCTCTATCTATCTATATCTCTATCTTATCTATCTCTCTATCTATCTATCTATCTATCTATCTATCTATCTATCTATCTCTATTTATTTATTTATCTATCTATCTATATATCTATCTATATCTGTATCTATTTATTTATCTATCTATCCATATCTCTGTGTATGTATATCTTTCTTTATATCTATCTCTATTTTCTTCTATCTATATCTCTATCTATCTATCTATCTATCTATCTATCTATCTATCTATCTATCTATCGATCTTTATATCTATCTATCTACCTTTCTTTTATATATCAACATCGACCTTTAATTTGCATATCAATATTGACCTTTAATTTGCTAAAAGTAAAAGTTTGTGTTCTTACAACTGTACACAAGTGATAAATATTGCAAATATTTCCAACACATCATCCCTAAAATTCGTAATAGGTAAACAATACATCAAGGAGTTGGTTAGTTTTGCATAATGTAATTGTATTGTGAATAATGTATATTAGTGGGATGTTTGTGTTTTTTATGAGCAAAGACATAAATGAACAAGCAAAAGGAGTAAAAAAAAAAACAATTAAAAGGTTTTGGTACTTAAGTCGTGCATCTGCTCAGAGTGGCAGGTGGCATGGGTTGGATTGAAGGCAGGGTCCTGTGGTGAGGGAAGGGTTAAGTTGTTTGTGTTTGGGGATGTGAGTTGCTCTCCCCCAGGTCTCTGGAATCCATTCTCACTCCTGGGTCGGGTCTATGGCACTGGCTCAGTGTGCACCTGGGGTAATTAGGAGGATGGCACCTGGTGTGGAGTAGTTGGCAGGGGCAGGCTGGAAGGGAAGTGTGATGAAGCCAGGGATGGTGCCAGCTTGGATGAGGATGTATTATGATGATGATGTACTTGCTTTGTGTCCCCCTAGGAAGAGCCAAGATTTGGGACCACTCCTTTGGCCATGCTGGCTGCCACCTGTAACAAGATTGGGAACACCAGCCCCCTGAGCAGTCTGCCAGAATCCAGCGCCTTCGCTAAGGGAGGCTTCCACCCGTGGAAAAGGTCCTCGTCCAGCTGCAGCCTGGGCTCCAGTCTTGGGGGATTCACAGTCGCCACCAGCAGGGCCTCCAGCGCTCTAACTGGAGGGAGTGCCACCGCCAATAGCGCCTTCTGCCTGGCCTCCACCTCCCCCACCTCCTCCTCAGCCTTCAGCAGTGACTATAGTGGCCTCTTCTCCAATGCCTCTGGGGTTTCCCCGCAGGAAGCAGCAAGCCAGTCCGCCTTCATCTCCAAAGTGCATGGGGCAGCGGATGGACTGTACCCCCGCGTGGGCATGGCTCACCCATATGAGTCCTGGTACAAGTCAGGCTTTCACTCCGAGGTGGCCAATGGGGCCTCAGCCTGGTGGGATGTGCACGCTGCCAGCCCCAGCACCTGGTTAGAGGTGCAGAACCCCCCGGCCGCCGCAGCTGCTCTGCAAGGGGCCCTACATTCTGGGGGGCCCCATAGCCAGCTCAGTGGCTACAGCCCGGACTTCAGCTCCCTTACCCACTCAGCCTTCAGCTCCACCGGGCTGGGTTCCAGCGCTGCCTCCCACCTGCTCTCCACCGGGCAGCATCTACTCTCCCAAGAGGGCTTCAAGCCGGTACTGCCCTCTTACCCGGACTCTGGCACCTCTATGCTCTCAGGGGCCTCTGGAGCGGGCAACGGAGCTACAGGACGCTCCGCGCGCAGGTATTCCGGCAGAGCTACGTGCGATTGTCCGAACTGCCAGGAAGCGGAGCGGCTGGGTCCCGCGGGGGCAAGCCTTAGAAGAAAAGGTCTTCACAGCTGCCACATCCCCGGCTGCGGCAAAGTGTACGGCAAGACGTCGCATCTGAAGGCTCACCTGCGCTGGCACACGGGGGAGCGACCCTTCGTCTGCAACTGGCTCTTCTGCGGAAAGAGGTTCACCCGTTCAGACGAGCTCCAGAGGCACCTCCGCACCCACACACCGGAGAAGCGCTTCGCCTGTCCCGTCTGCAACAAGCGCTTCATGCGCAGCGACCATCTCAGCAAACACATCAAGACGCACAACGCAGGAGGAGGCGGCGGGGGCAAGAAGGGCAGCGACAGCGACACAGACGCCAGCAACCTGGAGACCCCGAGATCAGAATCCCCAGAACTCATCCTGGAGGGGGTCCGGCCAGGGAAAGACTCAGGCAATGACTCCTAGGAAGCGGCGACTCTTTTGTTTTTTCCATTGTGGCGCAGACTGAGCCATCCCAGGGAAGGCAGCCACCTATGAGGCGCAGAGCGACTTTGGACTTGGGCGCAGTGCAGGTGATGCCACCTCTGGGGCGAGGTGACTCCTGGGGGTGGGTGGTGCACAGAGACTCTGGGTAGCACTGTGAAGGTGCAATAACTCCATGCTGAATTGCACTGGACTAGCTTGTGCTGGCAAAACAGGCAGATCATTCTTCTGCAAACTTTTAGAGACGACAGCAATAGCATCAGTGGAGGAAGGTCACTGACTCAATCTACTTTTATTTTTTTTTCTGTCCTGGTTTTCACAATCTTACAAACCACATGGACCCATAATTATGCCCTGTTGGATTATGACCTTCATAACTGAGATCTATTCCAAATCCAATTCTTTGTCCTTCTTATTTAAAATAATACAGACATAAAGGTGAGAAGTAAGACGTCAGAAAATAGGAATTCTCTGGACATTCTCTGTATTTCCGTTAAGCTGTATAAATAAGTTCCCCAGAGTTTGTGTTCATTTTCCATTGCCCATGTAACTGTCATTATCGAAATAGTTTCTATTTGGTGGATTCCTGAAATTCAGGAGTTATTTTTTTTTTTTTTTTTTTAATTATTTTAATTTCCGATGCACTTTGTGAAAGTCAATATATATATGTAAAAGATATTTAATATGTTGATTTAAACATTTGACACAGACAGGTAAATTAAATTCAAGAAAAAAAAAATTAAATGCTTTTATCTGTACTATATATAAAAATAACCTTGATCATATTTTGATTTTCCTATTATTAAAGAAGTCTGATCAACATGTTTTTTTTATTCTCGGCCTTTTTTTAAATTGAAGAGAAACTGTAGTTTTTAAATTCTACAAGTTCTGAAACACACACTGTCTGTATATTTATATTCGACAGATAAATCCTGTATAATAATAATAAATGTAGTATTGATCTCAACGCCTAAAACCTTGTAACAACCGGATGGTATAGAGGATGGTATAGAGGTCCCATTATACATCTAAATATATCATTCAAATGGCCAGCATACATTTTAAATACACTAAATGTAATATATATTTATATGTATTATGTGTAATAATGTGTGTACATGTGTGTGTGCGTGTGTATATATATATATATATATTATATATATATATATGTATATATATATATATATATAGAGAGAGAGAGAAATATGTATTTATAAATATGTTTCACACATCTTTTTTTCTTTTTTCTTTCTTTCTTTTCTTTTTTTTTCTTATCTTTCTTTCTTTCTTTCTTTTTCTTTCTTTTCTTTCTTTCCTTCCTTCCTTCTTCCTTCCTTTCTTTTTTTCCTGGATAGAAAAATATTTGTAGACATATTTCACAAACACATCTTTCTTTCTTTCTTTCTTTTCATTTTTCTTTCTTTCTTTCTTTCTTTCTTTCTTTCTTTTTCTTTCTTTCTTTTCTTTCTTTCTTTCTTTCTTTCTTTCTTTCTTTCTCTCTCTCTCTCTCTCCTTTCCTTCCTTCCTTTTCCTACCTTTTTCTTATCTTACCTAATTCCTATCTCACTTATTTTCTCGATAGAAAAATATATATGTGTATTATTTTTAAATATATTTCACATAGACACATCTGTCGCTTTCTCTTTCTTTCTTTCTTTTTTCTTTCTTTCTTTCTTTCTTTCTTTCTTTCTTTCTTTCTTTTCTTTCTTTCTTTCTTTCTTTCTTCTCTATCTTCTCCCTTTCATTCCTTCTCTCTCTCTTTTTTTTCTTTCCTGCTTTTCTCCCTCTCTTTCTTTCCTCCTTCATTCTTTCTCTTTCTCTCTTTCCCTTTGAAATATGCTTATATTCAATATAAAACATACATAACTATATCTACACCTCTCTCTTTCACCTCTGTAGTTCTAATATTTATATAGAACACACGTGTATATACTATAGATGCATACAGTATATATATCTCACAGAAATCAATTATCCTGGTCAAAGTGGGAAATCTGCCTTTTTGCAGCCAGTCCCCAAGGACCGAATCACTACAATAAATACTCCCACAGCCTACATTTCATGCCCAAATGAGAATCGTGTTCAATGTTATTAATTTTGACTCTGAACACACAGCAAGCCTCCCGTGTCTTGTACACCCTCATTAGGGATTCATGTCTTATCAAATATCTAATTAATCTGCTAGACATCATTTGTTCTGGCCAACTTTATCTGCGCTGGTCCAGGGGGAAAAGTGAGAATATTCTGCGGGACAAAAAGCTCCCTTGAAGATCGCCTTTAATTGTCTAAATTAACTGCTCGGAATTTGCATGTCAAACGCTGAGGGCCAAGCACACATGAAACCGAAAACCGATTTGAACGCTTCCAAAAACCAGCACTTGATTTGATAACTGCTCTGTTTAATGTTTAGGAAAGGCAACTGCTTCACCCCCCCCCCCCCTTCCTTTTCAAAGACAGTTGATATATGCAAATAGGGGTCTGCCAATGCTTATGGGTCCATGCGGTGAAATGGTCCTTGCTAGTTATTTGAATATCTCCGGCTCTGCTATTGAAAAGGTTCAAGGATACTGTGTTGCTTTTCTTTTGTGATTACCCATTGCAGCGTCTTAGGCTGGAGAAGGAGGAAAGGCAGAGAGAGAGAAGGGAGAGAAGAAAAAAAAAGTCAGGAATAATTAAAGCCTGGGATCAGGCCTGGGAACACACTTGCAAGAGGAATCTCATTTAGACAGCTTCTTTCAAAATAAGGCACAGTTAAATTGACCAGAAGGCAATTATTGAAATGAAAATTATTTTAACTGCTCTTTGTCTTGCTTCTAGCGACGACGAGGCAGAATGGTGAATCAAAGTCATTTGGGGATTAGGAAAAAAAAAGATAAACTGAATGCTAGGACAGGGACAAGGGACATTGGCAGTCATTATTTTTTATTGAAACTGTTGATTTTCACGGCCACCCCGCACATCTGCACAACAGCTTGCTATTGTTTCTATTGAATGCATGTTTTGCGATATACATACATATATATATATATATATATTAAGATCCACAGCATTCTTTACATTATTGTTAAGGATTTTTATACTTTAAATTATTAATTATACTACTGGGTAGAAATGCTGTGGATCTTGCAAGTAGTCCTCAATTTATGTCTCCTGTATTTTATGCTATTAATATGAGTTGTTATTATATGTGTATGTTAGCAAATCCAAAATGTGAAGTGCAATACTTCACAGTACTTTATTGGAGTGTATGGTGATCTCTACTCAGAGTAATAGAATTAAAAAAAGGAATGAAGGAAAGATTGGAAGGAAGGAAGGGAGAAAGAAAGAAAGAAAGAAAGAAAGAAAGAAAGAAAGAAAGAAAGAAAGGTGTGTTTGTAAAACATATTTATAAATACATATATTTTCCTATCTTTAATCTTTCTTTTTTCTTTCTTTAATCCCTCTCTCTCCCTCTTCTCTCTCTCTCTCTCTCTCTCTCTATATATATATATACATATACATACACATTAAAAATTAATAGAAAGAAAATAAAAGAAAGAAAACAACTAACAATGGAAGGAAACAAAGAAAAAATAATAATAAATGAGATAACATGAAAAGGAAAGAAAGAAAATAGGTAAGATAAAATGAAAGGAAATAATGAAGCTAAATAAGTAACATAATATGGAAAGAAAGAAAGAAAGAAAGAAAGAAAGAAAAAAAAAAAAATATGTTTATAAATACAAATGTGTTTCTATCTATCTATCTATCTATCTATCTATCTATCTATCTATCTATGAAAGAAAGCAAAGTAAACTTTTTTTCTAGGTAGATGTATTAATACAGACATGATGTTAGCCCAGCAGTCACATTTTCTTGGTCCCAGCATCAGCAGACATTGTGGAGTTGTAGTCACTCTGGAATGTCATTGCCATGCTGGGTACAGATTTGGTTTTAAATATGGTCCATGAAATGAGGAAATGAGTCGGGCCCGGCTGTGTGACAGGCCTACAGGGCTCAGTGTTCAGCTCACTGATCAAGGACCAGGGGGGCATTGCTATTGCCCTTTCAAGTCAAACACATGTCCATCAATGCAGCCTCCCCAGAAATGAGGAAGGGGTCTGGGCGTGTCAGGGAATAAATGGTTTCAGTAATCACCAGTAACTTACTCTATAAACAATTGTGCAGATAATACCTGTAAGGAGAGGGCAATGACCAGAAACAAGAGGAGCTGGGCATCTGCCACAAAGCAAAAAAGCAAAAAAATTTTTATATATATATATATATATATATATATATATATATATACACACACACACACACACACACACACACATTTTATGTTTTATACTGCTCTTGCTAGTGTGATCTTTAAGAGCACATTTACGATGTTAATTCCCCTGCTTAAAGTACGCAGTAAAATCAGAGCTCCTTTATGATGATTAAATAAAAGAACCCGAAGCCATAAATCCTTGAACCCAAGCTTTGCTCCAGCGATTCACAAGGTGACATGCAGAACACTTCCAGCAAGTATTTGCATTGCATTATACTCTGTTATTATTAGTGTACATATTGGTTAGACAACGGCACATTTCCTGATCTCGCACGTGTCCCCATGGGAATGACATAATTCGCTGAATGTCACTTTATGCCTTTTCTGTGACATGAAGAAATAAAGACAGAGAAAAGTCTATTGCAATTGACTCAACAAGACAAAACACTGCTGCTTCCAGTCCCTTTCCATTGCATGTGCGACTCTTTAATGCCACCTATCGACTACTTTGCGAATTACCAACGTCTGTCGACTGATACTTGCATTTCCAGCACTGAACATCACTCAAGGTACCCATCATTTTATCTCAATTAAAGGAAATTCATAAAATCTGCAAGAGAAAATAATCATATGGCTATTATTTAAAATAAACTGTTTTTGTCTGCGTTTCATGAGACAAAGCCAATTTTCCATTGATTCAGTGGTATTTGCTCTGCATACTTCTATCTTC